AAAAAAAAAAAAAAAAAAACTGATTGCTTTTTCAGTGGCCTTATTCTTCGTGTGTAGTGTTTTTCTCCCCTGACCTTTATATTAAGAATTTATTTGTCCCTTGAAAAACTAATCAATTTGCAGAGATCAATTTGTAGTATTTTGAACATGGGATATTTCCGATTCTTACTGCCTTGTACCTAAAAGAGGATTCCCAGTGGCTACTTTTTAAATAGAGTATGTGAAAAATAGTGGCTGATGAATCCTTAATGTTCATAAGGTCTTTTTTCCTGTTACAGTTGTATATAGAAATCTTAAAGAATTTTAAAAATCACTGCACTTTTTCACTGCATGCTTAAATTCCCAAAGGCAGAATTTGTACTGAGGTAGATCATTGAAAGGACTAGATTATAAAATGAGACAAATAACAAAGCATCTTAAGGAGTGAAAATTGAGTGTAAAATCTTGCCTTTGGCACTACAGTTTTGTGTGTGTGTGTGTGTGTGTGTGTGTGTCTTTACTAGGAAATGGAAGAACACTGTTTTACTTTTTAAAATGTTGAATGTTTCTGTCATTTCTGGAGATAATTAAAATGTGAATCACTGAACTTGAGATTTTAGCCAGACTAGGGGCCCTGCTAAAGGATGATAAACACTTCACTGAAATTTACCAAATGACACTGGGTTAAGAATGTGAAAACATTCGCCACATGTGAGCTGCGATGAAGAAGCGAGGGTCCAGGGGGTGTATTATCAGGACGAGAGCTGCAATAGCATGACTTCTAGGATACACTCAGTGCTGACTGATAATGAATCAGAGTTTTTCTTTTTTTAAATAAAAGGATCTTTATTTTATAGATCTGTTTTGACCAAGATATTTAGCTTTTTCCCCTAGACAAATTAGAACACATTTATATCCTTTGATTCCAGACCCCAGGCTTTTGAGAAGCTAAGAGTTGACCCCTTTCTGGCTGAAAACTTGCCTTAATTGGTACCTTAAATATTCATGTCAGTAGAACCAGGAGCTTACTATTTTGTTAGGATTCCTGTCTAATAATTTTTAGAAGCAAAAAGATGAACCATTATGTCCTTCAAAATGAACAGCTTTTGTATCTGATACAGAAAGGAGATGTGCGTGTGTTGGACGCATACATACGCATTCACACACACACAGACTATGAGGCTCGTTGAATTAGATGTATTCATTGTGCCTTTGTTGACCAAACCTAATTTTGAAATAATACTAATTTGGGATAATGCTGTATTTATTTTGATACGGCTTTAAGACATGTTAATGTGGGTCTTGTACCTTTTGTTCTGCTTCATGAAGTTTGAGGCATATTTATTCATCTTCAGGTAAATGAATCAAATAAGGCTTGATTCCCTACCTCCCACCACAGATTCTACTTTTTTCTTAAGGATTTATTTTCCCAGACACTACACAAATCTTTGAAAAACGTTGCCACTTCTACTACAGTCTTTACCATCAATTACCAGTATTTCAGTTTTGCAAGGATATTTGGGCTTCTTTTAGAAACACAAATGCAGAGATTTGCTCACTGGAAAGTGAGTTGTGTGTGGGGCTACGGAGGCGAGTCAGGATTATGGTGGTACTTCTTTGTTCCCTTTCTGTAGTGGGTTGTCTCTTCTGATTGTTTTGGGTCCTGTTGAGAATTGATGAATATAAGGTTTTTCCTGTGCCTTTTCATCTTTTGTCCTTTTGTTTGCTGGAGGTTGAGTGGCAGAATTACATGGTGTTGGGGATCTTCCTTCAAACATTGCAAGGTGTATTTGTACCATATAAACCTCCAATATGCAATCCAGTCGTGTTGGTTTCTCGGTGACTAAGAATGATGACCACTGGCCATGTTCTTTAGTTCTTACGATGAGCTGGCAAGCACCACCTATCTACTTAAGGGGGCTGTGGACTTCCTGTTGTCCTAGGGAAATCACACAATGTTCCACTGTGCAACAGATCTCAACAGGTACTGTGATGGGTAGAAAAGTGCCTGTATTTCTCTACCCACAAGGGCAGGAAGGAAACCTACAGCTCCCTGTGAGCCTAGATAATACTCTCTCGGCCTGCAAGGACAAGGGAATAAGACCACTGGCAGCAAGGCTGGCCAGGCTGCACTGGTGAGACCAGGCGGTGGCCGACCTAAGGCAGATAACGTGCTTTGCTTATAGAAGTAGATGTTTAAGTGATGCTTAACACAGGCAGTATTAACTTCGCCTTTTGTTCAGGCCATCAACATGTATTGTTAAAATTACTGCACGTTCCCCCTCAGACATCAAGTATACACTGTTCATGTTGGGGTGTGTGTGTGTGTGTGTGTGTGTGTGTGTTTATAGGTATGTGTCCCAAATCTTTTTTGTCTTTTTCTGAATGTGATCATGTTTTGGATGATACCTGAGCAGGGTTGCCTTTTTTTATTTATTACCATTATATATTATATTATATTATATTATTGTTGCTTTCTTATAACTTTAGAGGAAGTCAAATCTTGGTATTAAAATTGTCTAAAAAAGGAATAAATTGCCCAGTTGATAAATGATCACTGGTCTATCTAAAATACGAATTTGTCTCTAGTTCTTGTGGAATAATGTGCCAGCTGTTTGGTCCACACAGTGAGTTTGTACGTAGGCTAGGGAAGCAGGGATGCTCTCAGCGGGAAGATGTGCAACACAAGGAAGGGGGATGCCATGTATTGTATCTACTTCAGCAATGGAACTGCAACTTGGGGCTTTTGTGAATAAAATTTAGCTGCCTTGTATAGTCCTTTGAAAGAGACGTATGTGATCTGTGAAAATTATAGTTTTCTTTTTTTAGAAGAAAAATTTGCAAAAGATCTTTCCAAAGATAACGTGCCACAGATCTTTTGTTTGTTGTTCTCTGTAATGAGGATTAATTGCTGTTTAAAAAGACATGTAATTGACTTGTTAATCTTCAAATTCTTTCCTTTTCACAAGAGGATCGAGCTGTAAAAAAAAATAAAAATAAAAATTTAGAGAAATCATTGGGGCTGAATCCATGCTTTCATTTTGCCTAAATAAAGTAATTCCTAAAATTGCTATATATAATTACCACTTAGCCAAGAAGAATGACACGGTGGAATGACATGCCCTTGTTCACAATATGTATGTATTGTTGAAATGGGAAAAGAAGTGTGGGCAGAGGGAAGCTCATCCTTCTCTTTCTTTGGTTTATTTTTAAGAACTTCAGTCACACACGAATTACCCTTCACCAGTGTGGCATCTTCTCTGACATTAAGGGCCAGGGGCAACGGTGACCTTAATTTGCCTGTTTTCAATGTTTGTTGGGTGGACAGATCTGTAGAATGTTGGTGTTGAAAGGTTTTGAAAGGCCATCTGGTCTCTCCTCCCTTTGCTACTCTGAAAGAACTCATGTTCTACCTCAGTGCTTTTAGTAAATCAGGAAAAACCTAGGTGCTGAAATCTGACTTGCTGAATTTGAATCCTGGCTCTTGAGTTTGCTATGTGGCCTTGGGCAAGTTACTTAACCTCTCTGGGGTCTTCTCATTTTTATAAACTTTCTTGATTTGGTATCTACCTACTAGTAAGATGGTGAGGATTAGGCTTGATGGTTCTAGAGAGCGCTTAGCATAATACTTGGCATGAACACTCACAAACTGGTGGCTCCTTTAATTTACTCCTTCCCCTTACTGCACCACAGTATCCCCACATCCCCACAGCTACCCTCCAGCCTCTGACCGAACACTGATAAAGACCTCACTACCCTCCTCTTCCTTTTTCATCTTTTGTTCCATAGGTTAGGTTGACCTCTACTTACATTGATCCTACTGAACAGACCCCCAACCTCACTCAGCAAGCTTGTGGCAGAGTCGACAAGCAGCAAGAACCGGTAAGCACGTGTGGAGAAAGGATGTTTTTAGTCCCCATTAAGAGAAGCTGTAGGGCAGACATCTCATTTGAACTAGGCCTTGAAAGATGGGCCATAAAATCTCTGGTTTTCATCTTTTTCACAAAAAATGTCCCGTGTCCTAGCTTGTCTATTACAAATTTTCAGTAGTAGTTGTCCTTTGTATGGTTGTACCAGTTTATTTAACCAACCTCCTTGTTAGACATTGAGATTATTTCTAATTAGGGGCTATGATAAAGAATGCTTCCACAACCATCCCTGAA